AAACTACTTTGCTGCGGAGTGAAATTGACTGCCTCAGGGAATCATCCTGTCCAGCATGCTGTCATTTCTGCCGACCTGTCTAGCTGTGAGAAGGGACCATATCCCATATTAGACTGATTTCCAGTTCGATGTAACAACGTGGATTTTAAACATCCCTGCGTTATAAACTTTAAAGATAATCCTGTGCACTTAAGAGGACTTTTGAACGGTACACTAGAATCACTATTGACTCCACAAGAAGACCACGACTTTTCAAGGGGAACTGGAATCTCTCTATACAATTACCAACAATTCATAAGGAGAGCATTTCTTTTTTTCGCATTTGTGAACAAAATCCCTGTTCCTGTTTCAAATTTTCTAACCAATTTTATAAGATTTGAATTTAAATCCTAAATAAGCTCAAAAATGTAAAATAATTCCCCGACTCGACGATAGACAATTAATCATAATTAATTAAAAAACTAAATAAAAATAATGTTAGTATTCATATCGAAAAATACTTAAAAATAAAAAAATGAAAAGATATGCGAAAAAAATTAAAATTAAGAAGCAAAGGAAATGAAAGAAATATAAAAATAAAAGTCAAATAAACAGTTGGTTTTTTACTTATTAATAGGCCAAAATTAGTTGTAAATTTTACACGCATTTTACTCTAATTAAAGGTGATTTCAAAACTGTGCGTTCACAGCAACATTCTTGAAGCGGCTGAGTGATTACAAAAATTTTATAGCCTTCATTTTTGGTAAAGATAGGCTCAATGATGATTGCATTTCCAAGCATTTTCTTTTTCGTTATATGAGTTTAATTAAAAAATTAAATTTGATTACATATTTAATTAAATATAAACAAATTTAAATTCTTAACAAATACGTATAAAAGTAAAAAAGTAAAAAAAGCAAATTTAAATTCTAAAAAAAGGATTTTTAGAGACAACTCCATATACTGAATATAATTATAACTAAAATATATAACTTTCTAAACACAGGTTCCTAAAACAATTCCGTTTAATGCGTTTCTACTCTAACTACAGTATTATTGATTGCAAATCTATCTGTATGTAAATTCCTTCAAAGTTTAGTGACTTTAAGTCACACTGCTTTACTTCGAACTATCACATAAAGTTTCCTCTCTTTCTCTTTCTATATATAATGCATAGTTAAAGTATTGAAGACACCAGGTAATAACGCATTGCTACCCCTTTAGGTTTGATCACCGTCGATATTCTTCTAGCGAGATGGACTATTCATGGATTCATAGCCACGACAAGGTGTTGATATCGTTTCCAAAGAATATTAACTCATGCTAACTTAAAGACAGTTCCAATTTCATTCAGACTGTCTAGTGGCATTTCCAAAAAATGTAAATAATTTTCTACATCGTTCTACAAATGCTAAATAGGACTGACGCCAGACGATTGAGCTGTCCATGAAACCAATTTGAACTCCGAAGCCTCTTCAAATCTGTTTGCGATCTATCGTGCATGGTGATAGGGATCATTGGCCTGCGGAAAGTGACAATTTGCATCAGAGAACTCGCAGCCACAAATGAGTGAAAGTGATTTGGTACCGATATTGAGGTAAGCTGTCATGCTGACTGCTACTGGCTGTCACTACAGCTTTTCGTTGCAGTCGGTCCCTTGCTATGAGCAGAAATACTAACTACTGTCTACTGGCTAGTAAAACTACTGGCTGCTCATAACAAGGGACCCTCTGCAACGAAAATATTCCAAGGACCATAATTCCAGGGCCACTAGTCTGAAGAGTTGTCATTAGGCAAGAGGTGCTCGTAAACACAATGTTTGCGCCATATTATGATGCATGCATATCTGCATGATGGCAAAGAAAACGAGATGAGATTTATTGGACTAAGAAACTTTTTTAAATCGTTAGTGGTCCAGTTTTGGTGCTCCTGGGTCCACAGCAATGGTTATTTCCTATTTATCAGTGATAGCATAAGCATCCGTAACGGTCTCTCGCTATTAAAAGCATTCCGTTGCAAATTTCATTGCGCTGTGCATTTGGATATGCTGTTTGATGCACCTGTATTGCACTGAGCTGCAACGCTATAGCATTACTGGTCTTCTGTTGAGGGCGACTCGTTACAGCTTTCTTTCACCTCTTTTGTTCACCAAGATTTTCCGACTGCAGTTGTTCTTACTAACTGAAGTTCTAAGGTATTTCTACCACCTTCTTGGCGAGCCTTCGGGGTGTGGTGGTCTGCACACTGGGCCAGTATTCCAGAGGTCCCTGGTTCGATTCCCGGCGAAGGTGATTGCTCATTTTTCATCTTACCTGCTTTAAAAAAATCCTAATGTCTCTACAGTGGCACCCGAACTAAAAGAGTGGTGGATGATGATTTCTCCAAACCCAGGATTTCGCGATTGGGTCCCCTAAAAACCCAAGTCGCCCTTTAAAAAGGGAAGTATGTAAGGTATTTATCCCACCTTTTTGGCGAGCCTTCGGGGTGTGGTGGTCAGCACACTGGGCCGGTATTCCACAGGTCCGCGGTTAGATTCCCTGCGAAGGCTTTGTTAATTTTTCATCTTTCCTGCTTCCAAAAATACCTAATGTCTCTACAAAGTTCTTTTGTTCTACCGCCACTCTTTAAGGCTCTAGATACTGTTGCACAAGAAAACACCTACAGTGTTACGATTATGTCTCATTCAATGCCACTCAGATCTTTCGACTTATCCATTTTCATACTAACTGCTACAACTCTATAACGTTACTAACAGACAAGCCCACGTTTAAAAAAGTGTATCTCTAGCAACTTACCCACTCACTGTATATGTATATATATGCAAACTTCCAATCATCGTTTTAGATTCCAAATTTGGGTATTTCTATATATATATAGGTATACATAAGTACATATATAATATTTATTTAAGTTTATAATATAATGCATTTAATTTTCAGTAGTTTTGTCTCGTCGATACTTAATTAAAAACCAATGTGTATAAGAAATTATCGTAATTGCTGTTATTAAACTGTATATTGTTTATAAAGAATTATTCTAGTGTGCTTGAAAATTTGCAAATAAAGATGTTAATTGGCTAAATCTAATTTAGTATCAACTTCTTCCTTTCGCCCTACCACTCAGGCATCGCGATTGTGCTTCGTATTATGACATAAGTAAAAGGTCGACAGGATATCTACTTGCTGCCGCAACCCCAGTATGTTTCAGTTCAAAGTATCAAGTGACTGCGAAAAAAAAAAAAAAATTAAAAAGTGATTTAATACCGGATTCAAAAGTGCTTCCAATCGAAGGAGTGAGTGTTATGTTTGCTTTCTTAGTACATTACGCAACGTGAAACGGATAACACTGCTGCCTCAAAAGTTCAAAATCTAAAAGAGAAGAAAAAGCATTTCGTATCAAGGCCATTTGATGAGTGAAATATGCTTAATGATTCTTGTTCGCTTGCAATATTCGCAATGTTTTCATCTCGTAAAAAGAAAATTAAACATCCAGAGTGCTAAGTTCAACAACCCTTATCAGTGAAATGGAGAAATACGAAATAGTCTTTTGTGCTTTATTCGGCAAATTCTTCAAACATTTCAGTGCTTTTTTCATTCAAACATTGGAATATTATCATATGTGATAGAGAAGTGGTATTAAGTTCCAAAGCCGAAGTTTTTAAGTGAGGAAATTACGTTTTACAATGATTTTGCATTATAAATAATTGTCTTGTTTTATGATTTATTGATGGCAATATTTTAAATCATTATAAGATTAAAATGAATAATTTAAAAATTTTATGATTTATTTAAAATGTAGTTTTGTATTTTTGAACTTGAAAAAAAATTATTGAATTTGATAAAAAATTAGGTAAAGAATATTTGAAGATTTTACTTAGGGAAGGTTCCTAATACGAGTAATATTTTTGTACTATTGTTTAAATTTCTTTGAATTTATAGTTTTGAATTTTTGCTGTATCTTAAGAATGAAATTATTGTTTGAAAATTTTAAAGTGTAGGTATTTCTTTAATATTTTCAAGGTAAACGTTGAATGCTCTGACCTTATGAAAAAATAAATTTTTTAATTAGATTAAAACAATTTATGAAGGATGACATTAAGCTTAATAGCTAGTGATATTAAGCTTAGTAGCTAGAGGGAAAGTGGGATCAGATACGGAGGACTATTCAAAGCTGTAAAAGAATAAAAGCTTTACGATTTGAAAGCGTCAGATAACCTCTGAAGTATTTTCCCGCCGCTTGTTTGCTGGGGAAGGGTGAATTTTCCGGAAGCTGGAAAGCAATGTTTTAAAAACTTAAGGCCGTTGAACATCATTTAGCACTTTTTTTTTTTTTAAATCATAGGCAGTGATGAAGCGGGTTTCTCTTGGCTACGAACCTGGGAATTGTTACTGAAAGCAAAAATTGTGCTGTAGTAGAGCTCGTTAACTGTGAAAGCCGATATTAAATTCAAAGTTTGTGCAAAGAAATAACGTAAAATGCTTTAAAAAACCGTGTATTTATAAACATTTGTTGTATGTTGGGGTTGGAAAAACACCTGTCTCCTCCTGCATTTTAAGGTATATACTGCTATTGTACCTTTATACGCAGAAAGCGCTGTTTTCGCAGATGATGGAGAAATTCATTCCGGCATTGCTTAATGCAGTAAGACCCCACTTAACGCTGTTTCGTTTAGCGCTATTTCGGTTTAGCGCTCTTTTATTTCAACCCGGGGATTCCACGAAATCGCTCGCAGCATACGGGAATTCCCCGAAATATTATGCAGCGATAGGTTTCAAATACATATCCGAAAGAGTGTACTTGTATTTCTTGTTTGGTGCAGTATTGTACAGACATATTTTGAAGGGGTAAATGTGGAAGATGTCGAAGAAATAATTCAAGAAGCAGCGGCTAGTCTTTCTAATGATGAGCTCAAGGAATTAACAGAACAAGAAGAAATCAAAAATGTTGACAGCAGTGATTCAGAAGAAGAGCAAAAAGAACTTTCAATGGCGTTTGTAAAAAGGAGTTTGTCTACCATAACTGAAATAATGGATCAATTCATTGAAAATGATCCGAATTTTGACAGGAGCTCAAAAGTAAGGCGTGGTGTTAGAGATGCTCTATCCGTTTATGAAGAACTTTTAAGAGAACAACGCAAAAGAAAAAGGCAAACAACATTAGATGCTTTTGTCACAAAAAGGCAGAACACTGAAAACGCGGAAGGCTAACTAAATATGACTGACTTATAATTTTATTTGTTTTTTTTTTTTAAGAATATTCGTTTTGTTATGTATATTTTGTTTTTATTTTTGCAAGAAATAATAATGTGGTATTAATTTGGGCTTTAAGAAATAAATTTTGGTTTTATTTTTATTAAAAAAACATACTTTTAAATTTAATACCTAACCAATTTCCTAGCCATCTTCCCCTAACCCCAATATTTACATGTAAAGATAGCCTCGTTTAGCGCTGTTTCGCATTACGTTCTACTTTGATGGAACGTATCCTCCGCGTTAAGCGGGGTCTTACTGTATTTCTTTACTAAAGGAAAGTGCTCGTGCCGCCATCTATTATCAATAAATGTAAATACTATTGACCCTCAATGTAGTTAAGCACGTTGTTGAATTAAAATTAGAATCCTTGATTTTAAGCCACGGTCTGGTTAAGCCAGCGATAAAATTTTTGGCGCTCCTAAAGGCAGTACTTACGTATCTTGAAACCCAATTAGTGCCGAAGTGTAATACAATAACTGATGTATTACACTTCAACGTATTAAAAATATTATAATAAATTATATATTAATATATAATTATGTACATTTCAATAAAATTATATTTTAATATTTTTATTTCTTTCACACTCTACATATCAAGATTAAAATATATGGAAATTAAAATTATATAAAAAATTAAATATTCTGTGAGAAACAAACATGTAAAATCAAGCAGCTAAAACATTTTATGAATTTTTTTTTAATTAAAATAATTATTTATTACTTGAAAGAAAATAGTAAAGATTTTCTTTGACTTCATTCTAACAAATCCATTAAATCTTTTCGAAGCATCAATGTTATTTAACATTCTTGTTCCATGTATAATAAGGTTATATCATTCATCTGACAAATCTACTTCTTAAGCAGTTTTTCACTCTTCTTAAATTAGATAACTATCTTTCTACATATGCATCGGAAACTGGAGTCGTAAAAAAATTGTTTTTAATATTTTCTACGATAGGAAACGTTGATCTCCTTTTACTGGCAGCATGATATAGCTGTAAAGCAGAAATAAATTTGTCTTAAATTTTTAAAAAAGTAAATAAATAAATAAAGAGTTCCACTTCATCAAAATGCATAATATTCATATCACCTTTCGAAATCACTTCGAATTCATTTACATAGATATTTCTATCAAAATTTTGTAAATTTAAATTAAATAATATTTTAAAATTTTCTGTTTTATTTTTACATGCTTCATTTTAATGAGCAGGTTCTGGTTATGTTGTAACAAATGCTGTTAAGAGAACTAAAAATAAAATTTTTGAGTGAAGTAATTTAAATTCTTCATTATTTTCATAAAAAATTTCTTTTTTTTTTTTTTGTGGTCTGCGGTTTTATTCTTCAAATGCCAAAGACGTCATGGTCCGTTTGCATCCTCAAAAATTCAGGACGGAATCGTGAGTTAAAATTCTTCTCAGGTTTTAATAAATCAATTCCTTTAAACAGTTTCAAGTGGCACTCATTGCCTGCAAAACCGTGTTCCATATTAATGTCGTTGAGTAACAGGATATTTTTTTTTAAATAAAGATGTCTCCACTACAGTTACTTTCTTTTCAAATCTGAAGCACAGAAATGAGATAAGGCTTCTTTTATATGATTGCAACCAATTTTAATGCCAGCATGGCATTTGTTATAGACGACAATCTAGCATTCGACAATTTTTTTATCGTTCAATTAATTTCATACTTTTCTCGATTCCTACTCAAAATTTGCTAACGACGAAAGCATGCAAAAAGAAAAGAAATGACTTTTGCACAAATTTAAATTACTGAGCGGTGGTGCTACAATTTTTTGCAGCAAAACTTCACCTTAAATTTAAAGAATAATAATTAGCGCAAAGTATGTAGATCGCGCTCGAACGAGAACAATTAACATAGGCCTGCAATCTTAATATTTTCCTGATAGCTCTGCTTCATTCTCAAATATCTGCCCACGGTAAATTTTATATTATACATAATTTTGCTAAAGCAGACAATAAATGCCGTTAAAAATAAGATATTGTTCAATCGATATACCTTTGGTTTATAACCTTCTTACCATCATGTGCCCATTTCAACATTGCTAGACGATCATGATTGCTAGACGATCATAGCTTTAGATATTTATAAAATAAACAAGGAAAAGTATTAAAAGTGTTGATCCAAGCCAAAACTTCAATAAAAACTAATTTTAATATTTATAAATTAAAACTAAATACTTAATATATAAATAAAAGAATGACTTCATTCCGCATTGAAACTATGAAATTCTCTAATTCCTCACCTGATTAAGAAACCCTGTTTAACCAAACCCTGATTAATTAACCTTAACCCTGATAAAACCAAACCCTGATTGAGAAACCCTTAGAAACGTTTCTCTTAAATCAGACATTGGCAATATGTACCTTATAACTAACGTCAGTTGATCAGTATGTAAAACATCAGACGGATATAAGGTGGTAGTAAATTTATGATTTAATTTCTTCCGTTCTAACGTCAGTTGATCAGTATGTAAAACATCAGACGAATATAAGGTGGTAGTAAATTTATGATTTAATTTCTTCCGTTCTAACGTCAGTTGATCAGTATGTAAAACATCAGACGGATATAAGGTGGTAGTAAATTTATGATTTAATTTCTTCCGTTACATATGCTATAAAATATTTGTAAATGATGCTGAAGAAGTCCACACAAACATCATGTGGCAAATAATTTACAATTCCTCGTCCTAGATTAACATATTTTTCTAAATGTGGTTTCAAAAAAATGTCATATTCACTGAGATATCTCCAAGCATGTTGAACGTTTTCCTTTTATGCTTGAACTCTTTAACCATGACAAATAAATGCTAACCTTAACTGTCTCAATAATTTTATAGAGTATGTAATTATTTTTAACACTTTTTTCGGATAATTTTCTTCCTGTTCTGCTCGTTGCAACAAATCAAAATTTATATTGTATAAAGCAGATCTTTTTCACAAAGTATATGTTAAAACGTTATATGCAAAATTAAGGAAGGGCCGAATATATTTGCGAAACTTCCAATTCAATGCTGGGCAACCTATTTCGAAATAGTGGTATCCTTCTGAAAGCGCCTCTAGTGACTTCCTTCTCAACGATTTAGCGCCTTTCTTCTATTAGTAAGGCTGATGGCCTTACTAACAGAAGAAAATAAAGATTAACGTATTTTCAGCATGTATGTTTAGATCAATAACCGTAATAAATCAATTTATACGATACAAGAATAACTTTCATAAATGAATACACCTGCAAAGAATAATGGCTTTTTTCATCTGCAGCGGAGGAAATGACAATCTAATATTTCGCATTGGCCCACCAGCGGTCGAGCGGTAAAAGCCACTGAACACTGGTAGTTCGGTTCGGCGTTCGAGTCCCTTGCGAACGGGCTGGCTGCATGGGCGTTTTCGT